CATGCGTTCTATTTGAATAGAACACCTGTCTGTTCGAATAAAACATACGTGTGTACTATTTGGATTTCCGGGGGAGCCTTTGAGAAATGGACTTTTTCAGGGAAAGTTGAATAGTACATCCGCACATTTCCTTCGGGGGAAGACTGTAGGAGTAGGGTATATGGTACAAGGGGTAAATTGGGATTCGGTACCGAGATCGAACAAATCTTTTCATTTGACATTGTAATAAAAAATAACAGAAAATAAAATATGTGAGGATTTAGCCCTCGCGGTGGACCTCAGGCCTTGGCCCTACAATGTGCAAGGGTACCCCAGACTACCCCGTGCCCGCCCTAAGGGAAGGCGGGCCTACACTTGGCAATGGGGCCATACTTTTGTCATTTCTGCAAAATGGCCGCCAGACAGTTTCCACGCGCCAGTTGGTCTCACAGTCCCTGCTTGCGAGCATCCGAATCTTCCTTGAGCGTTCCAGGCTCTTCTGGAAGCTGCTGTAGTTCTCCGGTTGCGTCGTCAGCAGTGTAAGCCTATACCACAGTTGTGTGATATTGGCCAATATCGGAGTTGTGTGATCGTGATCTAGGCGCTCAGGCCTCTCGGCCAATGGCAAAGCAGGGAGCGACAAGCAGCTGCGTCGCACAGATGGACAGCTTAACTGCTGCAGGTCCAGGCAACTGTCTGAATTGGGCCTGGGCGCAGACACTTTGGCCCGACGTGAAGCTACTGGGCACACGCACGCCGGGCCCAAGCAGCCAGAAGCAGGGCTGCACTGTCCACATAGGAAAGTGCCCTGCACAGCCAGTACATATTCTGACCTTGGCAGGCATCGCGGCCACGCTGCTGCATTGTAGCATGAGTGCCTGCCTAGCGCTGGCTGGCCAGAGGCGCACACGGGCGCCAGAGGGCAGAGGGGCGCTATGGTGGCAGCGGTCGCACGGCGGCCATAACCAGGCCGCTGGGGCGTGTGATGGTGATGGTGATGGTGGTCTTTGGGTGTCGGGGATGCACACTGTGGGGGGTGGAGGGATGATGTGAGAGGAAGGGAGGCACACACCTGGTGTATGCTGGCACTCTGAAGTGGCGACATTGTCACGTACATTGGTCTTCAGGACGAAGTGACTCCTGTTGCATATAGGTAGAGTAGGCTAGGGTAGGCTGAGTAGAGTAGGCTGGGCGCTGTGCGCCAATCAAGGAAGAGCGACATTTGATACTTTGTTGGTTTGGCGAGGTAGTGTCGACATTGACATCTGAGTTCATTCTATTGCTCTTATTTGGCTGGTATCTCGGTGCATTGTGCTTTCTGCTTGGTATACGACTATATGGTCTACGATGTGAAATTGCAATTTGGATTTCTGCCAATCGCTCGCGCTCATTTTCCTTGCAAATATCCAGAATGAGAAATGCAATAAAATAATTTAATAAACAAAGTCAAAACTTACTACAAAGAGATGAACAATGGAATGCAACAGAGATGAAAAGTAACACACAATAAAAATAATCATTAAAAAAGAACAAAACAGAATCCAAGAAAATAAGGAGGAAAATGAGAATTGAAGTAACATTTCATAGACTATGTGACACCCAGCACCTCACTAATGAATGCATTGGGATGGGGGAGGAGGAATGCGGAACTTACCCAGCCCACCCTCCTGCCTGTGATTCGATCCGACGTACCCAGACTTTCCTTCCGTATATATGTCACAAGTTCTCACAACCCAAACTTCACTGGTCCACCTATTGGCCGGGCGGGCGGGGGAAAAGACCAGAACCTCGCTCCTCTCTGGCTGCCTGTAGTTCTTTTCGTAGTACCTGACACTTCCTCCATGTATATATGTCACAGCTGAAATCACACAGGTCAACTGCCAGTAATTCCGTCAAAAGTACGAAACATTCCCTCCATATGAATGTCAATGTCACAGGCAAAACTACACAGGTCTGTTCTAAGACTTGTGAACATCTCTTAAATTCAGTTTGATACACAATGAAGAGGATGAAAACCATGAATCGAGGAATGATTTGAATTTTGAAAGGAAAAAAATGTTGAAACCTCACAGGCCCATGCAGTTGTGGTTGGAGGGGAGGCCTCCGCCACACTGCATGTTACTCTGTCGAAAGGACTAGACATTGCCTCCATATATTTGCCGCAGCCAATACTTCACTGCTCCACCTCGGGGCATGTCCAAGCCCCCTCCCCTCAGTGCAAGTAATTCTATCAAAGATCTTAGACATTTCCTCTGTCTACATGTCACAGCCAGAACATCACGGCATAAGGTAGTACTTTTTTTTGTTTTTGAAACCAAAAATCCCCTCTAGCAAGTTTCCTGGTTGCTCCAATCTATACTATCGTCAAACAGAGCTGCCCGGTATGTCACACGACAATATCCAAACTTTTCTGTCAGTGAAGAGTACAGATTTCAATTCTATGCTGCAGTTCTAAATTATGAATCTGTCCTCTCGCCGTATTTGTGTGGGCGTCTTCCCAACAGGAAATGCTAGTGCACAATAACGTCACGAGCTGCAAAATGGACATGTGATGTCTGGGTCCAGAGATTGCTCGCAATCAGCGAAGGAGGGGCAGTCCTCCAGACAAGTGACTGAAGAAGCCACGGCATTGTTGTGATTCGGGCAAAGACAATGATGGGTGTAACCTTAAACCTAAAACCCATAAGCCCTAAACCCCATATCTGTAGCCATGCAGAGGAAAATGTTGCCGAGTATTGAAACTGAAATGAGCCAAGTACTTATCAAGCTCAACCTCACATACGTCAATGAACATGCACAGGAGAGTTCACACATGAGAAGCCAAGTCGAGATACAGTCAGCACTTGAAGATGTCGTCTCCAATATTATTATCAATATACAAGAACGTTTGTCTCCAGCGACTCTGCCGCACACACACACAACAGATCCCAACCACGTGGCGGCTATGGCTTCTCTTGCTTACCTCTCTCTCTCGCTCTCTCGTGTCTTGCTTCTCTCTGTGACTTGGCTCGCTCCTCTCTCTGTCTCTCACTAATCTAGATCGTCACCCTGGATACACCCACTCAGGTAGCTTACACCTTTGTGGGTATGGCCGCTGTCCTCCTGCTCTACCTCTAGCCTGGCTATGGAGTATCGCCCAAGCGCCCTCTTCTTCTTCAGGCGTGCAGTGCCCAAGTTGCCCTAACGCACAAGCAGCAGCAGCGCTTCCGCATCTCGCAACTGAACAAGTGATGAGCCACTGCACTGTAGCTGGCCTGACTCCGTTAGACTTCACTTGGCCTGCTTCAGACCGGTGCCGGTTGGCCGCGGCCTGTCTGCTGCAAAACATTTTGTCGGTCTGCTAGCTTCCGGACTTTCCTGGGACATGCTGCAAAATTGGACTTGGGACTGTCCGCCTGGATTGGACTCTTCTGGACTTTTCTTGTCGGGTACCAGACGGAATCCTACTGACCTAGGACTTTTTGGTACCCACACCTTCCAACCTACGACGCTTTGGACTACAGATCCGACGCCCTATCCTACTGGGACAGCCTGGGACTGGAACACTTCAGGACTCTAGGACCGGGACTGGGGTGTCTGCAGCATGAATCCTTTCACTCCCACCAGCCTAATTTCGAGGTCCTCCGAGAAAATCTCATCTTTATCTATAATACACATTCATTTCTCTCCAGGCCCTCTCGTAGAAGGAGACAATGTGAGGGGCCGTCTGTATCAGTTCTTGCCTGGGGAACCAGTGGTCTTCGCTGGGCTCCTGATAGGCAAACCTGACCTTATATTGCCGCTGTGGCCTTCCTCTGTGACCTGTGTGGAAAGTATCTTCGGCCAATATTCGGTCTACATCATAACCTCCGTCCATATCTGGTGGAATCATGGAATGTCGGGAGGGAAACTGATCGTTTGTAATACAAGGAAGCAACTTAGATGCGTGGAATACTGGATATGTGTGCAGGTGGGGCGGAATCTTGATAGTGTAGGACGGACCATCTGCCTCTCCTTTGACATCTAAGACTTGCCATGGTCCCCTATATGCAGGTAACAGTTTCTGCGAGATCCCTTCTTCAGGAACGAACTCCTTATAGACTTGACCCATACCAAGTCACCTACTGCAAACTGTGATGGTCGTCGATGTTTGTTAGCTTGTCCTACCATCTGGTGCTGGGCCTTGAGGATGTTCCTTTTAAACTGTTCTAGATCCTTCTTGTATTGAATGGCAAACTTCCCTGTACAGGGCGGCGGTCTTTGAATCTGATCTGGGTTCAAGCAGTCAATCGGGCGTCGGGGTTGCCAACCTCTGTGCCGTTCATTAGGGGTGCGTGCAGTAGACAAGTGCACCGGATTGTTGCATGCAAACAGCACTTTGGGAAGATGTTCGTTTCACTCGATCTGGCTGGGCCTAATGCACATGCGTAGCACTTGCTGGAGTCTTCGGGTGTCTGCCGAAAGACATTGTGAGCCTCGACCCATATACTTTCATCAACTGCTGCCAGTGCTCGCCCGTGAATCTACTATCTCTATCACTAACTATCGTAAGCGCGTGTCCGTAATCTTTCACCCAGTGATTGAAGAACTCTCTAATCACTAATTTTGTCTTCACCTCAGTGGGTAGCGGAATAAAAACAACAAATTTACTAAAGCGATCTACTACTACCATCACTTGACTTTTCTTGCTCTTTCTTTTGACCTTCGTGTCCATGAAGTCAATAGACACGGAGTCATCGGGACCGGACGGGACAGGTAGCGGTCTCAACAATCCAAGGGGGGTCTTGTGTGGAACAATTGTTCCGCTGGCATACTTGGCAGCCCCGGATGTAGGCAATGCAGCGGTGCTTCATGTCGATCCAGGTATAGGACCGTGGGAGATTAGCGTAAGTCTTTCTCCAACCGAAGTCGCCCTCAGTGTCATGGCATTCCCCCAAGATCAGACTTTTTGACAGCCTCATTATTCGGGGTACAGAGTCTGTAAAACTTCTCAGTGTTTTCAAACAGTAGTCCGCCACTCAGTCTATAGTCCGGGAGTTCGTGTTGTGTAGTCCGCACTCTCCTGATTAGCTTGCTGTAAACGGGATCATCAACATACACAGCTGTGACCTCCTGCTATCACTCGGCGCCTGCATCTAGGTAAGTAACGATGGCACCGAAGAAGTCTGCACATCTACTCAATGCGTCAATGACAACATTGTACTTGCCTTTGACTGGCTTTAGTTCAAAGTGAAACTGATCGATTTCCCCAGCCCACCTAGTCAACTTTGGGGTCATTCGAGCTTGGGTTTTAACCAGCATAGCGTCTCGTGGTGAAAATAGACTTTGAAATGTCTTCCTAGGAGATAGTGTCTCCAGTGGTTCAGCGCTTCTCTCAAGGCCCAGCAGGAGCAAATGCAACTCCTATTGGCTCCTCCCTTTTGGGTTGCGGTAGTCAGGGCAAAAGCAAACAATGTGGTTGGAATCACCACATTTTAGGCATTGGTTGGCCTTAAGCCTTTTCTCCCACGAGGCTTGCTCAATGCCCATCTCTTTCCATGGCTCTCTGTCTGTAATACCTGGATGTGCTGGCCATGGTCTGAGCCCCCTACCTCTTGCAATTGTGGAGGAGAAACTGCGTCCACCTTGCGGGGAACCATTACCCCTACCTCCCGCGTAATAGCTACCTTCGCTACTACTCCCCTAGGTGCCACGTCCACTTCCTACACCTCTTCCTCGGCCTAGTCTTCCTCCTTGTCGCCCTCCCCCGCGGGCTACAGCAACTGAATAGTCCCCTCCCTGGGCTATGCGGTTGTTGTTTGGGTCTTCCAGTCCATAATCTATGTTTTCATAGGGCAGCTCTTGGACTCCACCGCCATCGAATGTGACCAGAAGACTATCCTTTCCCGCTATGCTACCAGATATCATCTTGTTCTTCCAGCGACCTCCTTTTTGTAAGTCCCTCCAATAATGGCAATCATTTGCCTCTTGGAGGAAGCCGGCGTGGTCTACGACCATCTTACTAAGCTTTTCATGCGTCATGCCCTCTTCCTTGGTTTGGGCATACGCTTGGGATCGATGGGGTTTAGGGAGTGCTCATGCAAAGTTGTTCAAGATTTGTGCTGGCGTGAGACCATGCTTAGGGTACTGCAAGAGTTTGTCCATAGTGGCCTTTAGTGCCAACACACTTTTCCATTTTCGATCGGCTTGTACTCAAACCGGTTCCTTAAGGACAGGAAGAAATCTTCGATGCGGGTCTGCTGGGAGTATTCTACCATCGATGTGCACCTTGCCTCCTTCATCACGGAGACATCAGAGTTCATAGCATCTCCCCCGACGCACGAACTTACCATCAAGACACAGTCGTAGTATGGTATGATCTGTCTGTACAGGTAGGTGCCCATGTGCGCCTCCCACTAATAGAAGTTTTCTTTTATTTTCTGTGATAGGTCCACATGATCTTTACCTTCATCTTGGTATGATTTGTCTGTCCAGGCAGGTGCCCATGTGCGCCTCCCAATGATAGAAGTTTTCTTCTATTTTCCGTGATAGGTCCAGAGGATCTTTACCTTCATCTTCTCTCTCCTCTCTCCTCCTTTGGATGGTCTTTCTTCCCCTTTCAGATCTCCTTCCTTTTTAGAGCCTTTGCCTTCATTCCCATCATCACCACCATCATCTCCACCTCCACCACCACCTCTTGACTTCATCGTCGCGAAGGTGTCTACTAATTTCGAAGTGAACATTCCTTTCAGTTGTTG